CCTCCGATGCATGTTGGAGCAGGGTGCAGCACAACAACGAAAGATAGCCAAGCTATCGCAAAGGGAAAAAGATATGTGGGCGACACACTTTCGCCAAGGACATCGACTTTGAATTGAGCAGGCAGGAACCCAAAAGCCGCATCGACGTCGAGGGGACACCCAAAGAATGTCATCGGCGTGGTCAGTGGCGGTGGACATCGTGGGCCCGCTATCTATGACAAGGGATGGCGCTTCAGGGCGGGTTGTTCGCTATGCTATGATCGCGGTGGCACTGGTCCCGGACTTCAACGCGGTGGCGGAGGATGATGTGGCGGAGAAGGACGTTGCGGAGGAAACCGTGGCGGAGAAGGACGTCGCGGCGAAAGACGGGGCGGAGGATCAACGTGATGAAAAGGTTTCTACACCCAAGGAGGATTCTACGCCGGAACAGGTGGTGGCACCAGAACCGGGGGAGGATGTGGGGGTGACGGAGGAGGAACAGGACATCATGGATCCAGCCCATGACTATGACTTTGAGGCGGAGCTCCAAAAGTGTCAACGTGGAGTTCCTCTGAAGCACGTGACCTGCATGGAGGTGCTGGAATCCCGGGCCAAGGCTGAGGTGATTGTCGGCTTGCAGAAGTTGATCACCAAGTATAAGGCCATGTCGGTGGCGGTGAACCGCTTGCACACCGACAGGGCGAAGGAGCTCATCAGTAAACAGGTGGAAGCATGGTGCAGTCGATGGGGTATTGTACAAACGTCCACTGGAGGAGATGACCCTGCTGCCAACGGCCATGTAGAGGCTGAGGTGAACCAAGTCAAAAGGCGCGCAAGGCTACTGCTGGCGCAACATGAATGTGCAGGTCAACTCTGGCCATCGGCGATGAGGTATGCGGTGGAGGAGAGGCGAAGACGCCAGTTGGAGGAGCTTGGAGTTCCCACATTGCCTATGCTGCCATTCTATGCCACTGTGTATGTAAAGGCGAAGAAGTGGCATAAGGAGGGGGGACTAATGGCACCATTTGTGAAGGGCAGATTGATGTGTCCAAGCCCCATGATGAACGATGGATGGGTGGTGCAGGCCGAGGATGGCAAGATCCTTCATGTTCGAGAAGCTGTACAACCGAACACTGAGGCGGAGGATCTACGTCGGGAACTTGAAGATCAACAAGCACAAGTTCGCCTACAGTTGGAGGAGGAGCCACGACCAGGTCAACCATACCATCGCATGTGGGGGAAACAACCATTGGATGGGCAACCACGCCTTCCTCAAGCTGGAGGACAACAAGGTGCGACTACGCCAACAGCGGGGGGGACTTCTCCTCCTTCTTCAACAACAGCTTTGGGCACAGCTTCGGGCGCAGCAGGTCCTGGGGGAGTTGCTGGTGAGACCGCGGGAGCTGGAGATGCGAGGCCCGGGGGAGCTGTGATATGGAGAGATGACCCTCTGGCCATTCCTATCTCGACTACATCGTCATCATCCAAAGGTGTGCGGACGTTGAGGGTTGAGACTGGGGACGAAGGAGCATTGGCCGCTGTTGACATTGAGCCGCACTACCAAGGGGCGAGGTGGTTGTCAGTGCAAGAGCTAGAGGACTCCTGGGGTGACCAACAGGGGTGTCTACAAGAGCAGCTTTTGGGGTGCATCAACCAAGTGCCGACCACGGAGGAGCAGGGGGCGGTGCAGGGTGAGTTGGTGAATCACCTTCTGGGCTGGCGCGATGAAGTTGAAGGCCAGTTGATGGAGTTGAGTCGGGTGGCAAGGGCCCTACAGATCCGACTATGTGCTCTTCAAGCTCAAGGTCAACAAGGTGGAGAAGGTGAACAGGTCCTGCAGACCATGACCGTCCCGCTCTCGGAGGTGCGGGAGAATGCGGACGCATGGAGGCCTTCGTTCCAGTATGAGTACGACGTGCTGGTCAAGGAGACTGAGGCGGTGGTCCCCACGAAGAGGCATTTGTTGGCGCCGGGCACGGAGCTGGTTCCGGGGAAGATGGTCTGTTGCAAGAAAGGGGGCACAGGGGCTAAGAGATCGAGGGCGGTGATCTGCGGCAACCTGGCTTCGGAGCAAGCGGATCCACCTCCTGGAGGTTTGCCTGGTGGCTCCTACGCAAGTGGGGCGGATGGGGTGCTCATTCGGGCATCGCTGTTGGAGGCCAGCCAACGTCGTTGGGAGATCACTTCGTTGGACGTGAAGTCCGCATTTCTGCAAGCTCCTCGACCACATCAACCAGGTGGCAAGCCCGTGGCAGTTCAGCCGCCGAAGGTGATGGTGGACCTGGGAGTCTGTGAACCGGATGAGGTCTGGCTCATCAGAAAAGCACTCTACGGGTTCAATACGAGTCCATCGTATTGGGCAATCTACAGGGATCAGGTCCTGGAGGAGCTGGCGTGGGAGGACAACAACGTCGCCTACCACCTGATCCAGACCAAGGAGCGCAACTTGTGGCGCATTGTGGAGAAGGAGACGCAGGTGGTCAGAGGCCTTCTATTGGTGTATGTCGACGACCTCCTCGTGATGGGAGATGCAGTGGCACGACCTGGTCTTCTTAAGTGCATCCAGTCCCGGTGGAAAACGTCCACGCCCGAGACGGTGGATGACCAGGGTTGGGTGAGGTTTTGTGGGTACGGTACGAGCTCAAAAGCCATGAAGGAGGTTTGTTGTTAGGTCAACCCTCCTACCTGGGTGAGTTGCTGCAGAGGCACAACATCGTGGACAAGAAGACGGTCCCGCTGCCAAAGGACGCTGTACCTCCTCCAGAGGTAGAAGAAGGGGTGACGGCGGAGGAGATCAAGAAGGCGCGGGGCATCGTGGGGGAGATCCTGTGGGTGGCCATTCGCAGTCGGCCTGACCTGTCCTATGCCATCAGCGCTATGGGAAAAGAGGTCACAAAACGGCCGAGATGGGTGCTTCGGGTGGGACAACATGTTCTGGAGTACTTGAATGGCACGATGGACTACTTCCTGCACTATGTTCCCTGTGGACCTGGTGATCGTGGACCTCATGGTGATCTTCCTCTGGAGCGCTCTACATCGTTGGTGGAGCTCTTCAGTGACATTTCGTATGCCCCGCAAGGGGAGAAAAGTGTGCAAGGCGTCGTGGCGATGATTGCAGGCGCCACTGTGCAGTGGGAAACGTCCAGGCAATCGTGCCTGGCATTGTCAACGGCGGAAGCGGAGCTGTACTCCTACGTGGAGGCCTTAACTATGGGGGATTCGCTGCAGGCGCTGTGGACGGAGGTGCATGGAGAGACGCCGGAGATCGTCACCTATGGCGACAGTCAGGCTGCCATCTCCATCGTGCGCAATCCGGATGGTCCATGGCGTACCAGACGCCTTCGACTCCGAGCTAACGTGCTTCGAGAACGAGCTCAACAGGGGCGATGGAAGATCTTCCACATGGCGGGCACGCAGCTGATCGCCGACTACTTGACCAAGAGCATCACGGTTCGAGCTTCCTGGGACCGCTTCCGGGCGTTCACCAACCTCCTGAAGGTCGAGAACCTGGGTGGGGTGGCTGCGGATGATGGGGAGGGTTCGCAGGACGCGGTGGAATCCATGGTGCGGGTGGCGAAGCTTGCTGCATGTTTGGCTGGGTGCGCGGCTATGACCTGGCCTTCCTACACTGCAAAGGCGGCGGTGGCAGCGGCGCTTGCGATTGGGCTGGCCTATGAAGTGAGCCGGGGTTTTAGCAGGGGTTTTTGGACGAGGGACCAAGATCCGGGGGAGTGTTCAACCATGTCAGATAGGGAAATTCAACAAGAATTGAGATCTACTGAACACTCCACCCGGTTGCAACCTCGTTTGTGTGCCCTGCGGCAATCGCCGGCAAGGGAAGAACAAGACCAACAGGGGTCAGAACAACGGACCAGTCAAGAAAACATAAGAAATGTTCAAGAGGCCAGAAACTCATCGGCGTCGGGCCGCACGCCACCTCCAGGGGAACGTGTCTCGGAAACTGAAGGCCCTGGGGGTTTAGACCGTAGCCTAGAGGCTCCCAACTCCACTGTGTTCGAGGTGGAGGCGGCGAACGCGAGCCATGGCGTGTGGGGGCGCATCCAGATGAGGCTGCCTGCTGTCTTCCGAGGTGGACGCGAATGGCTTGGAGGAGATGCAGGGCAGCCGGAAGAGGTGCACTACACGAACAGCAGGGTGACGCAAGAGGCTATGGACGAGGGCACCTACGACATGACCAGACCGCCGATGGTGGTCACCAGTGAGGGCATCCGGATGTTGCGGCCTGAAGAGGTGGACATGGAGACCCAGACGATTCGCCTCATCCCAAATGAGCGGCTGGTGGTGAAGTCTCCGCCACCTGCAAAGCGGCCTCCGGTGCCCCCTCTTAAACAACCTCCTGTACCATTTCAACCGCGTGGCTATGGGGGGGCTACATCGAGTGGTTCTTCAAGGCCGAGTGAAGCTGCTGAGCGAGGGCAGGCGGCGATGGCATCTTCAAAGGCGATGGGGACTGCCATGGGGCACACTTCAAAGGCTGCGGGAACCACTCTCCAAGGGGTTTCTAAGTCGGCCGCGGCGGCGAGGAGTTCGAGCTCGACGGGACCTCCTACGCTGGAGCGAATGCGGCAGCCGGCAACTGACAGGCCGTGGAACAGGCCTGGGAAGGCTCCACCGGCGCAGCTTTTGATGCCGGTTGGGGGCATGATGGATGATCAGCTGGAGTTCCAGAACTCGGTATTTTGGACGCCTGAGATCTTGAACCACGCGCAGGACCTCCTGGAAGAAGAAGCGTTGTTCTACAAACCAACGCTCAAAAGTGACAGGTGGGATCACCTGACTATGGATGGCTGCAGGTGGCTAGTTCGCTACCATGGAAGTGCTCGTGTGCAACGCTTTCATCCCGAGCACCGCAGCTGCCCTGAGGAGATCGATAACCTCGAGTTCATGAGGATCACGGCGGCATGGAAAGGCACCGAATGGCATCGACGTGTGGCCATCGACAGCGATTGGCGCAGAGCTGAGCTGCCTGGACCGGGCAGCTGGGTGGGATTTTCTTTGTTCTTGATCCGAAATGGATCACGCCAGATGTGACAACATCTGAAGCTTTCGTCCTGAGAAGGACGGGGGGAGTGCGGATCTTGAAACAGGACGCACAAAACGAGAAGTGTACAACTAGGTGCACTAAACCAGGCTTAACTGCCTTCGTGTTTGGCTCAAGAAAACAAAGACCGCTTTTCGTGAAGCATGAAATCAATTCCAGGGTGCCCACGGATAGCTGTTTAGAGTCTGGAGAATTGTTCGTGGCAATATGTTACACTCCCGAAAACTAACATGGACCCTGAGGATGGCACCCTGAAAGACTGTTTCCTCTACAGACCATTGGTTTTCAGTTTTCGGCGGGGTAGATATAAGAATAATGTGTCCAAATATCATTGAAAAAAGGCATCAACCTACAGTCCTAGAGTCTCCGAATGTAGTACTAAGGGACCTTTGATGAATTGAATTGTTGTGATTACCAAACATCTTTGAAGGGGATAAGAAAACTATAGAAAACTATACAAACACATGCACTGGGACCGGAGAACTGTTTATTATTTCCAGTGTGAACATGTCCAAAGGTTTGGAACAATTTCTGCCAAGACTTTGTATTCTTTCATCCCACTCGACAAATCAGGATCAAGCATTCTTAGTCTTCAGTCAGCTCAGGAAATCTGGTCGATATGGAGTGCGACGTAGTTTGAACACAGCGGCTTCTTTGGCAGTTTGCTCCCAAGTTACATTGAGATGGTTCAGGATGTGCCGAAGGCCCTTGCCGTCCGCATCCCTTCCATTACGCGCGCGTGGGGTGTGTGCTTTAGCCGTGGACGATGGGGCTGGGTCAGCTGAGCAACCAGGCAGCCAACCTGGCAGCTTCGATTCTAGGGATGAGCCCCTGAAGCACTGGGAGCTTCAGATCCACGCCCTTGTGGTGGTGATGATAAGCATGGAACATGTGACATCAGCTGATTTGCGGGGTGAGACATGCAGGTTAGCACGCTACGCTGACTGGGGCTATTATGGCCAATGGGCAGTCGCTTTAGCAAAGGTTTTGCTTCGAAATGGCCTTCTAAGTGTTTCAATGTTGCTGCCAGCCTTAGGAGTTTCAAGAACTGTCAGCTGTAAGGCGCAGGAATTTCAAGTCGGACAACGCGTTCGCGTCAAGCGAAGTCTGAGGGGCAAGCCACCATCTAGCTGGCGTCGGCCACACTTGCCTGTTCCTGGCACGTTGGATGGTGCCTGCGGCGAGGTTGCTGAGATTCTGCAACCGAGATCGGATCCGGTGTTTTTCATATTCTGTTCCGAGCTTGGGGTCCAAGTGCCGGCAGAAATCTGCTACACTGTGAAATTCGCATTGGCTGACATATCTCCTGGCCACCTGGAATCGCCAAATCCGCCCAAGGGCAGTATCCGAGTGGAGGTTTTTGAAAGCTGGCTCCAGCAAGACGACCAAGGCGAGAAAGAGCTCCAAACTTTGGAAGCAAAGAGCTCAAAGAGCAGCTCAAAAGGTCCGAAGCGTAGATCTTTGAAACAAAGCCTGAAGACTTTAACACAGGAGATGCATGACCTCCACTCTGAACTGGTCAGCCAAAGACGGCAAAATAAATCACTGCCAGCTGCTAAGCATTCTCATCTTCAACGTTCAGAAGTAGAGCAAGCTGCAATTGACAAGGAGGGGGCTGAAACGCCAGGACAGCGGTTGACTGAGGCCTTGATCGAAGTTTTGACTAGTGCCTTATTCTCCACATCCAGATCATTTCTCTTTTTGTGACTTTCCCGTTGAAAGGCACTTTGTAATCATATAGGTTTTGCTTTTTAAGGCTTTCTGGTACGTAATCGATAGCGTACCGAATGTGAGGCAGTGGGATTATGGGGAAAGCAGCGCTTTCTAAAGCTATGGAAGTGATCGATTCCTTGGGAATGCAACCTTTGGGGCCTCGCATAGTTGCCCGTGCTTGGAGCGACGAGGAATTCAAAAGACAGCTCTTGGACAATGCCAATGAAGCTATCCAGTCTTTAGATTCATTGAACCTCGAGAAGGATCGTTTCAGCCATGTGAAAGTGAAGGTGGTTGAATCCACAGATGCGGTGCACAATCTGGTGGTTTGCACTCTTTGCTCTTGCTATCCTGTCAGCCTTTTGGGGCTGTCCCCATCATGGTACAAGTCGCAAGAGTATCGTCTTCACGCTGTTGAGAGGCCTAGGGAGCTCCTAAAGGAGTCATTTGGATTGGAGATCCCGCCCAAGGTCGAAATCCGGGTCTTTGATTCGAACTCAGACTTGCGCTTCTTCGTTCTACCTAGACGGCCTTCAAACACTGAGGGATGGTCTGAGGAGGAGCTGATGAATTTGGTGACCCGAGATTCAATGATTGGTGTGGCGATGCCCACGGTACCCGAACTCTGAAAAGAACGCACTTGGAGGGGAAATTTGGACGCGCCTTCAAAGGGGGGCACTGAGGAGGAGTGTTGGAAACCAGTATGGAGAACACCAAGGGATCAAGAATATTACAGTAAACACGACATTGCAAAAACACAAGCATATGATGCCTTCATTGGCCAGGCATCCACGCACATTGGCAGAAGAAGTGCTGTGTGACCCCCAGAGAGGGAGAGGTTCTGGCTTCAGAGTAAGTTGAGCACTTGTAGCATCTTGTAGCATTGAATCTGTATGATGTGTTGAATCCATGAATCTTCGATCTCGTTTGCCGAGCCACGATCGATGTCACTACTCAGTGAGTACTTGCTGAAATACGAGCATGTTGTGGTCACGCTGCAAGTGTGGGTCAAGGGAGCATTCTCGGCCTGAGTAGTGCCTGAACCCACGCGTGTCGCACTGCACAGCTGCTCGGACCACTCGCAGCTTGATTTGAACTTAGGATTTCGCGTCCAGCAGCTCTCTTTTCTCAATTGTTGCTGCCGTTATCAATTTCTTCTTTGGTTTTGCTTTGCACCTCTTCATTCTGCTCATCCCTTGTGACCGGATCAGGGACGCTGGCTGCCGAGATTTGCAAGAGCTTCTTCTCTAGATGGCTTCTGTGCACGGCCGCCGAAGATGCTTTGCTTTACTTTACTAGCTTGACTCCTGTTTTTCATGAAAGCACATTTGAGTGCAGAAAGATGTTTTTGGATTTTCCATCAGAATAGCCAAACAATGCCAAACGTATCTCAAGGGTCACCTATTTCCTAACCAGTCTGCAGAGGACAGCGAGGACAGCAAGCTAATCGATTGGCTCCAAAAGCTGACGAGGAAATGGACACTGTGACAATGACAGGCAGTCAAGTGAGTTCCCTGCTAGCAAACAGAGCTAGACTAGACTCCTAGACGATATGATGAAGGCAAAGGCAAAGTTAGAGGAATCGACTTCCAGATTCAGATCTTCAGGAGCGGCAATGGAAGGAAGAAACGATTGCGGCTGCCCAGGTGCCACGTTCAAAAGCTGATGCCTTCCTCATGTCAAGCACTTGGAAGTGTGGTTGAGTCTTTGCAGGCGCAACCGTGGAGACCATCATGGGAGCAACTCAGAAGCTCTTGGACATTTTAGATGAGTTTATCACCACTGCCACTGCTGTGTTTATGGCTTGCTGAATGCAAGGTTGAATGCTTGACAGGACGCATTGTAATTAATTAGGTTGCAGTTGCCTGAGGCGAAAGGCTTTCGAGTCAACCAACAACAGCTCCAGCACTGTCGATAGATGCATAGCGTCTTCTCTGATAAAGCGCAAAGAAGACCACAGATCAGTTGCGAACATGAAGACATAGTTACAACTCCTCTTGGAGTCTTCAGAGCATCCCACTGAAAGACACAGCAGATCACCAGATAGAGCAGGGTATTCAGGTACTTGCCAGTAGTTGTCAGTTTCATCCAGTTTCATTTGTTGATGCTCGACGAACAACAATGTTTGGAGAACCGCCTGGACTACCCTGTGCGTTGGAATCTCGGCACACGTTAGCAAATCTCAGGTGAAGCCATGGAGACCTTCGTGGGAGCAGCTTGCCGACAACACAGTGACACCAATTTGATAGAAATAGGAGAAAAGAAGGAGCCCCCTAGTAGCATCCTTGCTCCTAGTAGTGCCAGGAGCCCCTAGTAGCTTCTTGTTACGACCATGCTGACCATTCTTCCATAATGTAAACCATTCCGTTCAAGGAAGGTTGAAAGCTGCGAAAGGTAAGACACTCAGAGTTAACTCCTTGTCTGAGGAAAGACAGGCCGGCAGACTCGGACCCCAACAGGGCAGACCGCTGGCAACCTTCCGCCCCTCGGCGCTTTAGGTGAGAAATATCGTTGGAGTTCTGGTGGGCACAGTTTGGGCACTACCCATATAACTTTCAGGAGTCAGAGGTGAAGAGGCCTTTTTCCCCCTGACAAGGCGGTGGCAGATCTTCGAAGAACTCTTGGCAGGAGGCCTCGGCAACAGAGCTTGAGTCAGCTTGAGTCAAGGGCTTCAGTCCCGAATGGTGGGCTTCAACTTTGTTGCAGCTCTTTGCAGGATATGGGCATCCAAGCAGGTTTCAGATATGAAGCAGCAGCTGAAGAACAAACACGTTGCTCGGAAGAGTGCTTTCAGAAGCTTCCTGGAATGCAACATTGCTAAGATCTTTGCCCTTTAAGGTAGTGCAGTGCGAAGACGACACTGACGCACTGTCGCAGTCTGATGCGAAGACTTCAGCGACGACATCTTTGCACTCAGAGGCCAGCAAGTTGACATTCCGAAGCAAGATGCAGCAATTCAATGGATTGAAACATGCTTATTGGTGTATGTTTGTTCGTTTTGTGTACCAATAGGTTTGTTGGCCAAAATTGGGAATACTTTGTGAAGACCATTCCTCATCCAGGCCGTGGGAGATATGTTGAGCCATGACGACCTCCACAGCGAGCAGCCACCCAGCTAAAACATGCTAAACTTAACCACAAACAGTTCGATTGACACGATGTTGACCTTGCTGCTCCATGTGGTGACAGGAGCTACTCTGAGACTGCCCAGACAGCCCAGGAAAGCATCTTGGTGTAAAAATGGGCAGCTGGCACCTTCAGGCTTGCACGCGAAGAAGATGCATAGGCACTTTTGCGAACGCTACGTGTATTGAAGTTGGGAGTCGGTCTCAGGTCTTCATGACATCCTACTTAAACTGTATCTCGGCCGAGCTTTTTGTTCAACAAGTAGCACCAGATTGCTCAAAAAACAAAAGCAACTGGAGACAACCTGCAGAGCAATGCAACAGATACCTTCGTGTCACTGCACGCCACCACAATCCAGGAAAGAGGACTGTGAGCGACTTTCGCATGAACGGGAATGGCTGTTTAAGGCGGTGAGGCTGGCCATCAAGAAAATATGGTGTCGCTCAGATTTCATGACCGCTACTGTCCACAGGAATGCCGCAGCTGAAGCGCTTGGCCAAAACTTCGAACGCATGTCTTTGGTGGGTAGTGCTCGAAGCTAAGCAAAATCAAAGTTTGGGGCATTGCAGCAGAGCGGCCAAATCACCACTATACCAAGGTGGCTTTGAAAATCGACATTCCAGCTTCTGCTCGGGGCTTGGGCCGTTTTTTGTAAAGAGCACCTTTGAGCAGCACGTGCACGTGAGAATACTTGATCCCGCACAATTTGCAAAGATGGATCCGTGCACTACCTTGACAAACACTTTGCATCCTTCATTGTAAGGATGTGGATGCGGTTGCCTTCACGAAAAAGCCTATGGACAGTGTCCAAGCACTTCAAGCCACTGCTTCGATCCTACGCAACCAGGCACGGACCTCTGTCATTGTCTCGCTAAGTTTCAGACATGCCCAGCCGTTGCCGGACGGCAGGAACCAAATCTGTGGGATAAAGTCGAGTTCCGCAACTGCGCAGGATTCCGCAACTAGGATTCCGCAACTGTTTGGTCGGATTCCGCAACTGGGATTCCGCAACTAGGATTCCGAAACTAGGATTCCGCAACTAGGATTCCGCAACTAGGATTCCGCAACTAGGATTTCGCAACTAGGATTCCGAAACTAGGATTCCGCAACTGTCAAGATTCCGCAACTAGGATTCCGCAACTAGGATTCTGCAACTGGGATTCCGCAACTGGCGTTCCGCAACTAGGATTACGCAACATTGTGGACTCCCTCACTAGGATTCCGCAACTTTGTGAATGATGAGGGGGTTGGCGTGATGTCGAGATCACACGATGGGGACAAGGGGGGGGTTGGGGGGGTGGGGGGGTTGGGTGGGGGGCTAATGACGTTGGTTTGGATGTGCTTCGAAGGTGATGTCGCAGGCACACACGCTGTCGCATGATGTGGAGATCACCAGTTGCAAGTTTCAGAAGGCAAGTTGCAGAATCTGACTTTCCGGTTTCAGAATACCAGTTGCAGAATCTGACTTTCCAGTTTCAGAATACAAGTTTCAGAATCCCAGTTTCAGAATCCTAGTTTCAGAACCCCAGTTTCAGAATCCTAGTTTCAGAACCCCAGTTTCAGAATACCAGTTTCAGAATCCAAGTTTCAGAACCCTAGTTTCAGAACCCCAGTTTCAGAACCCTAGTTTCAGAATCCGACCGATTAGTTTCCGAATCCGGCTCTAACCAGTCATTGCGACTGCTCGTGTGCCCATCATGATGGCCAGTACCTCAGCTACATTGACAGTGGCGGCGCTGTACACCATTTCAATCTCCAGGTTTCGACCGCCAACAGTGCCGTTTGCTTGGACATGTCGGTGAATCAGAAGTTGCCTGCAGCATGGCTGAAGAATCTGAAGAATCATGTCGTGTCACGTTGCAAAAGCTAGCATTAGCCTCATTACATTAGCCCAGCTTGCTTTTGCAAGACGACGTTTGCAGATGGTTGTAACCACTGATAGATCCACCCTATGGGTATGGCCTAGGTGCAACTCCCTGTTGGGGGAAGCCAGATTCCAACTATACGGTCAAGACATGATATACATACGTGGAATCCACAGACAGATACAGATAGTGGGTAATCCTGTTACATCACTATATTCGACAAGTCTTGGGAGGGCTGACAAATTTGTATTGTGCGCGCCGGTGCACGTCTGAGTTTCCTACGGTTGACGGGGCACCGTTTTCGCATACAACTCATCCACGCCTGGCAGAAGCAGCCCAACCCTATTCAATCTTGTTGCGTCATGCAGTCAGGTGGTGGAAAATCGTCAATGGGACCTTGCGGGTTTTGATGTCAGAGCTAAAATCAAAGAGAGAACACGAGGACTTGAGGTATCACAAAAGTGGTGCGGGATTTCTTCGAGTCCCATAGTAATCATGCAATATCCCATGCAGTAGTGGCTTAGCGTTTTCATCTTTGGTGGTTGGGCTTGGGAGCTTGGGGGCTTGGGTGGTGCAATGTGTAGGGAGCCGGCCCGGACTCGCGGCACCGAGGCTGCTCATGCCAAATGGGTGGGAGGATTGAAGGTCTTCCAGAGAGAGCACGCGCGAGACTTCTTGAGGTGTGTGAAGTACTGGCATTCTCAGCGCCAGATACCTGGCACCAAAGAAGGTGGCTATCCAGCTTTAGCTTGGCTGTTTTTAGCCTTGCATGTGCTTGCTTTGCATGACACACAGCCAGATCCGGCAGTTGAAGCCGGCAGCCAGAGAGTTGTGAAGCTGCTCCGAGAGTTCTTCGCACTCTTTAGCAGTGGTTCCCATGATGACCTTCGTTTTGGTGGTTCGTGGTGTTCTCCTCCCATCTCTCAGATGGAGACCTTTTGGCAATTTCCTTCAATACAGGATCCAGTTACTGCAGACCCACTTGACAAAGGTGTTCAGCGCTTAACCCATGAAATACCAGCAGCAACGCAGTTGCTTTATGCTGCCGAGTTCCGGCGGGCCCAGATGCTGCTTGCCGAGGAGGTCGGGTCCTCCATTACATCCTTATTCGAACCGCGCGAGCAGCCAACGTCGCTGCCAGTGGCTTGCAACCGTGGCAATGTCTTCGTGATCATGAAGGCCAGAAAACTTTGGGTGGTGGAGCCGTTGGCGGTCCGGTTGCGTGCAGGCTGGACAGCGCCGTTCCTTCACAGATGTGACTCTGTAAGCAAGGTGCAAGCCCAGATCTTGGGCGTCGATGGCTTGGGGGAATTAACCCCATTTCCAGAGATGCGAGGGATCATTGATTTTTTTCCATCGGACTTTGTGGCTGCCATTTCTGTGCGCTGCTGCGCTGGTGTGCGATGCTTGGCCGCCGGTGACCTTCAACTTTGGCAGGATATGCATCTCTTGCTTCAAGCCGAGTCACCTGCTCCACGAAGTGCCGTGGACTCTCGAAGTAGACACTCGTTCAACCCGAAACATGGTAAAGGTCAAGGGGCTGTGACGGCTCAAAGCCCCAAAGGAAAGCTGTGATCCCGTAGCACATGAGGCAGGTTGGTACTGTAAAGTGGCAGGGCGAGGCAAAAAATATATACCAAGTGTCAGCATACTCTAGAAGTCAGGCCAGTGATCAGCCACATGATGTGCTTTGGTTTGCTTCACCCAAGTGCCATCAACGCTGACTTTGCTGCACCTGTTTGGCGGCATTTTTTCATGCACGGCTTTGTCCACGTCGGTGGGAAGTCAATAGCATGTTGAAGTTGGCTGCGAACTGGGATTTTTCACAAAAGCTCAGTACAGCTGTACAGTCTCGTCTCCCAAACGTTCGGCATCCTACTTCGCAGTGGAAAATGCGTTTGTTTAATGGTCCTGGAATGTTTTTGGTCATGCGCATCCTTTGTGTATCATTGTGCATCTATTTTTGATTCTGATGATTCCGGATGTCTGTCCTGTGAACTGCCGCTTGTTCCTCAGGCCGATTGTTCCAGCTATGGTAGGCACAGCAGTCAGTTGTATTCAGTTGTGCTCATGTGTAAACCCTTTGTGTTCATGCCAGCATGTGGATGATTCTCTCGCTGTGCCGCTTGATTCAGACCAATTTAGCTGAAATGCTCAAGCCAGCGCACCCTCGGCGCCTCCCGTGCCAAGAAGGTTGGAACTTCCTGTAAGAGGTGCCCTCATGGTTGAAGTTCCTCCCCATGGTTCAAGTCTTGCTTGGCTGCTTGCTTTTGCGCCACCCCGCCTCGCCATGTCATGTAAGCTAGGCTCAAAATTAGTGAAAGTGACACACGGTCAGTACGTGGTCATGGGATTACAAAATGCATGTTTCGCTCAAAAACGATAACATACTCACCAAAAGCGATAATATGATGGACATGAAAAAACGACAATACGCTCACCAAATCCTGATGACGTGCAGCTCCACAACAAATTTTGACTGTCACTCATGTCTTGCAAGCGACGACTGAATGGGAAACAACCATCACCTGAAGAGGTGAAGCGCTTGAAAGGCTGGAGGATGTCATTGGGGTCTTGTTGGTTTACTCAGAAGGCTGTCGGTATACTTGTTTGACTTATAAGGGAGGTTCTTGTCAACCCGCTTGATTCCTGAAGGTAGGTGTGGCAAGTGACACATGGCCTGTCTCACCCAAAGAGGAAGTGGTATAGTCAGTGTTCGATCAACTTGCCTTGATCTCATGTAAGCTGCTGAGAGTTCTGCAGGTTGCCAAACCAAAGGCACCTGCTGTTCAGCTGGATGTTCTGCTTATAAACTGCTGCGCAGGTGAGTGTCAACACGAACTGGTGGAGATAGTTGACAAACTTGCGAGAGAAAGAGGCCGTTTGGAGACAGTCACACAATAAAACCATCAAATTTGACTGAAGATTCGTGACGCCTTTCTTTTTGCAGGTGCTGTTGCTGAGATTGGCAGAGCAAGAGCGCTCCAGTACCTTTTGCTTTCGTCTGATGTGGACGACTTTGACTCACAAACTCTGTCTCAAAAATTAAACACTGGCTGCCTACGGGCCCTTCACCAAGTCAGCGTTGAAGGAATACCTCCACTTCCGCCGAACGTTTGCATAGCACCCAAGAAGGCTAAGAAGGCTCCTGGTCCCAATGTGACAGAAACTCATCTGCAAAAAGAAAAGTAAGGACTTTGTTGACCATTTCCTTGATGTTTGATTGTCAATTGACTCTTCATTTTTGGTAACCTATCACGTCTCCAAGTCAGGAAAAGGTGAACTTAGATGGGAGGAGACAGTGGATGACAAAATTCATGTGGTCAGATCTCAAGGCTGGAGCATTGGTACGCAGAATCTTCATTGCATTTTGTTGAGTGTTGAAATGCCACAAGAATGATGGCACGTTCGGCCAATGCGAGGTGGAATCGGCATGGTGCGGGAACTTGTCCTTGGTGGAGGAGTGGCGCAATACCATTTCAGATCTCCGAAGAAAAGCTCAGCTTCGGCAAAATGGAGATGAGGATGCTTGCCCTTTGACCCTGGAAGAACTTGCTGAGGCCGCTCGCATTTGACGAGCGTTTTGTTGGACTTCCTCGAGTCAGGAAACTGCTGAGAAAGCTCGTTGTAGATAATGTCCTTCTTCATTTTTATATAGCATGTGTTGAACTCTGAAACCTGAATGTGACATGACAGTTTTGAAGTGAACTAACTGATCCTGATACTGAAAAATACATGGACTAAAGTTGAACATCCAAACGAGGACGAACACACATGTTTGATGTCAAGGGTGAATCGAAATAAGACAAGCATTTAGTGACACCCGAGTCTAATGGCGAAGCAGCACTGTTGACACTACAAGTTTCAAGAACTGTCAACATATGTGGCTTTTGCAGACAGCTCTTCGGGCACGACATCCATCCTGGACTAAACTGACTAAACTGCCCTACAATGTGTTCTCATTACGCAAGCCGCAATGCTCACAAAGCGCTGCAAATAGCGTTGCTGTGTTGGTGGCATTTTCAATGGAATTGTCATTGTCTATGGATGTGTAGAAAGGTGACCAACCGCTTTTCAATGCTCAAGAACTTGCCCGGCGCCTTTTCCTTGGTGGTCGTTCTTCGACTGTTTTGGGTCAGGAGTGGAAACGAAGTCGATCCTCTTCCTGGCTCGCTCCTTTCTCTCTGGTCTTGGGCTCAGGCTTTCTCTGGGCACTCTAGTGCCCCTCCTCGCCCTTCGTCTGGGGCTCCTGACCTTCCCGGGCTCGGCTCCTGCCAGTGGACTTTCTGGGCCTCATCCAGGCCCCTTGCAAGGATCATCTCGGATCTTTGCCTACTTGTATGGGTGATTCTGCTGCCGCTGTTGAGCTCCTTCAGCTTCAGGTCCAGCAGCTTCTTATCCGGGTTGACATACTTGAGAGGAAAGTTTCTGAGTTGGAGAAGGGCGGAAACCACGGCACCTTGGACGGCTTTGAAGTTGTCTCATCGGCCGCCCCCAGACCATCCAGTCCATCAAGAACCTCCTCTAGCAGTTCGACCTACAATTCACTGGCACTTGGGATCCCTGAGCTTCCATCTGAAGCTTTGCGTGCTTGTGCTACTTTGCGGGGCGGCAAGCTTTCTTTCAAGCAGCGAGCCGAGCGAGCTTGGACTGCAGGGCACTGGGCCCGATTTACGTTGGAGGGGCGCATTAGCAAACCTCGACCAACCTCACCCTGCGACCTGGCCAATACTACATACGTGGTGGTCAAGGCAGAGGGCATCTCGGAGCCGGTTCGAGTTGAGAAGGCATCAGATTATCGGGCGTTGCTTGGAGACTTCACTGGATCCACTAGCATTTCCCACGGTTTCGCCTCGAAAGCTGAAGCCAAGGTGTACTGCCTTGCTCTCAACATCCCTTACCCTGAGAAGTTGTTCCAATGGAGCTAGACACTATAGTGCCCTTGGATCAGGAGAACGTGGAGCTCTTCAGGACCTACTGGCCTCCAGATCCTTTGCTGGTGCAGGCTCGACCGGGGCTATGTCTGATCGTGATGGTAAGGCATGCTGCAGGAGGAGGAGTGTTGGTAGCTTTGCCTCCAGCTCTGGTCCCTACAGGAAGCCTTCCTTTGGAGCCGGCCGAATCAGATGTCATTGGGCCTCACACGTCACTCGAGGTTCCAGCTGTCAGAATGTCAGAGGTGGGAATCGATCAGATTGGCATAGACCTGGACGTTCATTTGGTCGACTTGGGAGTGGACGCCCTACGTGCTATTACTCCCCTATCGCTTGTTCCAGAGTCCGAGGACTATGGCATGATCGGGTTTGGCGAGGATTTGGACATCATCCCAGACCCAGTGCTGTTGGTAGAACGGGCCAGGGAGTGGCTGTCATCGCATGCAGATCACAGGGCCGTCTTCTACTCCGCGGAAGAGGAAGCCGTGGAGGAGGGGAGCCCACATGCAGTTCCTCTTCCAACAAGAGAGCGCAGGGTGGCAGGCATTTCTCCAGAGCGTGCCCGTGCAAAGCCAAAGGAGGCTCCCAAGAAGAGAGTCACGACAGCAGCCCTGTCGGAGCAGCTCACCAGCCTGATGGAGTTGGTCCCAACAATGGTCGAGCAAATCTCAGATCTTCGAAAAGGTCAGACAGAGATGCAACAGGCGATTGCACTGCAGAGGGAGACGCCACCACCCAGATGCCCGTGTCGAGAAACCACGCCTGGAGTCGCTCATTTTGCCAAGATGATGGGAGCTCCTCCAAAGACGAAGGCCCTAGGCCCAGCTATGGCTCGTGGACCTATGCTGACTTCTGGTTTGGATGGCAACGTGGATCCACAGACCTATGCCGAGGAAGCAAGTCCCGCCAACCAGGCGGACCCCTTCGCAAAGGCCATGTTGGAGCAGAGCAAGGCCCTGATGACCTTAGTGGCTCATATGCAGCAAGGAGGCGATCCACTTCTCGACATGCCGGGAGCCTCATCGAGCGGATCATTAGGTACCAGAGGGTCAGCAAGTCGAGAAAAACTTCAGAGAGAATTGGCGACGAGGTCAGGCACTTTCTTTCTTGCTGTCCTGCAAAATGCTGTGAAAAGGCTGAAGCCAGCATCCCCGAAGCCGACCTCTACAGAAGAAGTCGCGGCCACCGATTTCTCGATGATCCAATACCTCGAACGCTTTGGCGGCTACGGACAATACAAAGAACTGGGATTGATCCGGTATGCCCTTGCTCACATCTTCGATGCGCTTGTCCATTCAGATGTCAACGGAGCCAGGGATTATCTGGCCCTGTTGATGGTGGGTGTGCATCAGGCCAACCTGGACGGCAATCGGTGGGAAGTGGGAACTGGCCTATCCTAGTTCCGGCCCTTCGGGGTGACAGCAATCCCCTCCATGGTACCTCTCTGAGTTTCCCTGCGCCGGGCACTTCCTCGTCAGAGCGGCCCTCCGCTTTATTCGGTCCGGGGAGCTCAGAGCGGGGAAAGGAGGATGAGGAGCAGGCGGCCGAGATGACAGAATGTTGGAAGCACTGACTGGCAGCGAGATGGAGATTGTACCACAAGGGGCTACAATCTCGTTGAATATGACCGCTATGATGGTATGCCATTTGAATTGGGTCGGCGCATGAGCGGATGTTGGAAAGTATGGTGCCAACGGAGTGAGGATTTGGACAATGATACCAATGATCCGAGCTCCGCCGAGACTGTCAAGGGCAGAGTTCAATTAGATGCAAGTGAGGAGAAGATGGACCCGGAGAGGTCGCTGTTGGAGCCAGTCCCATTTCAAAGCTGGGTTCATCGTTTTGTTAGGCAGGTTCTGTCTGCACGTATATGAGGACTATTTCAACCAGCCGCGATGGTCGCTTAGACGATGTCGCTACCGCCTTGTTTCCCATTCCGTTCCCCTTTGAGGATGCTTTTCGGTTTGGCCTGGAGTTGAGCAGTCAGAAGAAGAGAAAGACTTTGGCTTTGCACAACTTGCTGCTGTATAGTGGTTGCTGCTGTTGCTGTTCCACAGTTGTTTTGGCATTCATTCATTAATTTGTCAATGGTTGCTCTTGACAAATTGACAAGATGAAAAGATAAAATCTAACAATTTCATCTAATTTTTTCGAAGTGATATCTTGAAGACTGAACATGAGGGAAAAATAGAGTTTAACAATTTCACGTAAGTTTTGGGAAGTGATATCTTGAAGACTGAACATGAGGGAAAAGATAGAGTTTAACAATGTCGTGTAAATTTTGGGAAGTGATATCTTGAAGACTGAACATGAGGTAAAAGATAGAGTTTAACAATTTCAT